GATATATCCGTAGTTATGCCCTCTCCTCTCTCTTCCCTTCCCTTCCCTTCCCTTTCCTCCCCATTTCGCTGTGCATTTAGCAATCGCCGTAGATGTTTCTCTAATTGTGTATATACGCACCTTTTCCTCCTAACATAATACTTCACTTTCATATGTTGCTATTCCAGTACGCAGAAGTTATCATTGAACATGAACATCCCACTTTGTGCCATTCTGGCATGAACAGATCTCCCTTCCATTTCTTTCTTTCTTAGCTTGGCTTGCTCGCTTGGTCACGGTCACGGTCACGGTCACGGTCACATTTCATTGGGTTTCAAGGGCGACTGTCTCCGTAGATCTAGATGCACATCGAAAGTGTCAGCAACGCGATTTGGTTATTATGTTATTATTCACCCAGATGGTGGCGAGAGTACCAATTGAGTACAGTCGATCCGAGTATCGGAGAATGCTGTCACGTTCTCCAGAAAGAATTGCCTCTCTTTTAAAAGGATTCACGATTACACCGAGTATATTGGGAGTCTCAAAGTCACTTGACTATTCCTCTGCCGTCATCCAACATCATCTCATTTCATCCGAGTCAAAAGTCCAAGTGATAAGACATACGAATTTCACCTCGAGGTAGGCCTGTCAGTGTTATTCAGAATCCCTTCTTAACTTAGTCGTTGTTTTGTTGACAGGTACCGGACCGGTACGAACCTCAATTTGACGGTCCTGAGGGAGGATACCCAGTGTAGTAACGCTTGCACATATCACTGCCCGTCTATCTCGTGGTCAGGTTTTCCAGATTCTCTATTGTCAGGTGCACTTTTACCAGTTTCAAATTATTTGAATATAAATGTAGAATTAACGCTGTTCTCGGTGTGGAGCTTAGGACCTAATAGAACTTGTTTTGAGATTGCATAGACACGAGTTACTTCTGCATCATCATAATCAGAGACGACTATGCTTCTGTTATGTCTTATTTTCTATTACAACTATCACAGCTATCAAAGGGAAGATAGGTTCTGAAGACTGTGATTGGGGTAAAGTACGAGTACAGCGAACGCCATGTTGGTTGCTGTAGAAAAAGTGACGTTTATTGGCCTCCTCTACCTACCTGTGAAAAACCAACTTTCCTACGTTTTCATATTCTTGGAAGTATTGTTTTAGTAATTTCAGACCAATAAGTTCATATAATGCATTGGGGGAGAATGAAGATTGAATTCGGCGCTAAAGTCGAGGCATAAGTAGGTAGAATTGATGGCTTGGTGAGAGGATACTGAGATGTGAAAAGTTACGGAGGGAGTAATTCAGCAGTAAATTTTAATAGCAAGCTATACATACCTAAAATGCCATATCAATCAAAGTCTTCATCTCAATCAAAGAGACCCAGTGGCGTTGCGATTGACCTTTAATTGGCCAACCGTTCTCAACCGAGCCCAACTCAAAATTTCCAACCTCAGCCTCGTCTCCATTTCGGCCTCACATCTCTCTCTCTCTCTCTCTCTCTCTCTCTTCAGCACCGTCTATACAAAACAATGGCCTATCAATAGCATACATCCCTCCCAGCCATCAAAATGGCACAATTCATTCCCCGCGCCGCATTCCCCTCCCAACTCTCCCTCCCACGCTCTTATTTCCTAGGCCATCATGCCTCCGGCCTCGCGAGAATGAAAACCATGCTCTCCTCCATCGACCTGATCATTGAATGCCGCGACTACCGCGTCCCTCTCACCTCGCGGAATCCCTTATTCGAACAGTCGCTTGCTGGGCGGGAGAGATTGGTCATCTATACAAAGCGGGATTTAGGGAGTCTGGGGAGGCCTTCAGATAGACGGGTACACCCTCTTTTCTATCACCAACTTGAATCAAACCGCACGAATCATTAGCTGATTACTTGGACCTTGATTAATTACAGAGAGAAGATATAATCCGCCGCTGGCATCTCCCAAACACAACGCTCTTCACAGACCACAAATCCAAACGCGACATAAAGACCGTCCTGGCATTCGCCAAAGCCCACTCCATAGCCCTGGACTCCCTCCTCGGCTCGCGCATTCTCGTAGTCGGCATGCCCAACGTCGGGAAATCGTCCCTACTAAACGCGCTGCGCATGGCGGGCGTGAAACGCGCCAAAGCCGCGAACACGGGCGCGCAGCCGGGGGTGACGAGGAAGATTGCGAGTGGTGTGAAGATTGTGGATCGCGATGATGAGAAGGGCGTTGAGGGCGTGTATCTGGTTGATACGCCCGGCGTGTTCATACCGTTCGTGCCGGATTCCGAGGCGATGATGAAACTCGCGCTCGTGGGCAGCGTGAAGGATACGATTATCGCGCCGGTGACGCTGTGTGATTATCTGCTGTATTGGATGAATAGGAATGTGGAGGGCGGGGAGGGGTTGTATGGGGAGTATTGCGCGCCGACTAATGATGTGGTGGAGTTGCTGGAGAGCGTGTGTAAGAAGACGGGGAGGCTAGGGAAGGGGGGCGTGCCGGATCTAGATGCGGCTGCGCTGTGGGTGGTGCAGAGGTGGAGACAGGGGCATCTGGGGACGTTTCTGTTGGATGAGGTGCTGGAGGATGGGTTGGTGAGGAAGATGGATGAGGAGGTTGTCGTTAGTCTCAGTCAGGCCAGGAAGCAGAAGAAACAGGAGCAGGTAGCCAGGGCGAAAAGCAGACATGCTCCTGCTGATGTATGAGGTGATTGGGTTTTTGAGGCATTGCGAGGCGTTTGGGATATTCAGCTCTGGTGTTTGGGTTGGGCATTTGTGAAAGAGAAGGTGTATACCAATTTTGATACTATTAATATAAAGACAACAATACCTACTAAAACCCCATCATCGTACTCTGTCAATCTTTCCATCTCTCATTCACCACTCAATTTCCTGATCTCAGCCCAAGCTTCGCAATACTTGCTGTAGCATTGGGCTCCGTTTCCTAGAAACTTGCACTTCCTTCTTTCTATTACTTTTGTCTGGCTCGCATTCCCAAACACTCTCGCAAAGGGCAAATGAGCCTCTTACCGAGCACCGCTATAATTACCTACGTACCTATGTCCCCCCAACATCTATAGATGGGATTGATTTTGACACATACCTGTAGTGTGAAGAAAGACTGTTCCTTCAGCTCTCTGATCTTTGCTCGCCTTCGCTCGCCATTGGCAGTTCCCTTGAAGCGTCCCCTCGTCCTCTCGTTCTTTAATCATCTTACTATACGTGCTGCACACTATCTTGCGATATTCATACTGATATATGTAACATGATCAAGGCACTCGCTATATGTTCAAAACGAACGTAGTCTGAGATAGATCTCTCATGAAATTATACAGTTGCACTAAACATAGTATAAGTTTCCGTAATCATTGCTCCAATAGCTCCAAATTATCAAGAAAGTCCCACATTTTATAGACAATTATACAGAAGTCATCCGACTGCTTTTCGGGCATCGTATCAGATCTACCCCAACTTGTCAAGTAATCTCCTACGTCTCCTCTCTACCAACTCCTCTTGAACCTCATCGGCCGTTGGTAATCTCCAACCCTCCCCATCTCCAGAATCCCCTGGCAATGGTTCCCATCCAGGCGGAGCTTCTCTATCCTGGCCTGCTAGAAGATTCTCAAAAGCCTCCTTCTCTTTTTGCATTTCGTATTCCAACAACGTTCCGTCTTCCTCGTCGAGATTGTAGCCGTAGTATGAGGCGTCTACTTGTTTTCTAAGATCGGCTCGCGCATCCAGCGGCTTATCTTCTCTCGCTTTCGGTGTCGCCGCCTCGAACATCTCCTTCACACCCGGAAGTTCTCTCGCTCTCCCAAAATATCTGTACAACCATCAGCATGCATTCAAACACAACCAGCCCCCAAGAAATACATACCTATACCCCTTCCCACTCCCCGGAATCTCCCTCCCCTCCTCATCATACACCTTCCCACCCCCGCGCATATAATTCGGGCCTCCCAGATTCCGAATCTGCACCTCCCACATGTGCTTTTCCCTCATCGCCTTATTAATCTCATCATTCAGATCCCTGATCATGAAGTCGCTCAAGCTGGGGTCTTGAATCTTGCTGACTTTCCGCGAGATCTCTTTGAGGACCTGGCCGCGCCATTTTTCGCACGCTGGAATGGCCATTACTTCGGTAATCATCTTGGGGCGTCGCGTTCGTCCTGCGTCGATGATTCCGAGGTCTGCTGCTTGCGCTTCGCGGAAGCGGAAGAGCATTGATTGCGCTTTTTCTGAATTTCGCGCCTGCAGGACTGTCAGTACGGAATTGAAGACGCTGGCAGAGAAAATATACGTACCATGATTGCGACTGTATCTACACCTCTTGTAGAATTGTCCTTGTAATCTTGCGCTGCAATGTGCAGAGATGTCGTTGTTCTTCAAACAACGTTCAATATTTCCATATCGAGGCTGGGATTGGAAGTCAGACTAGCGGCCGCTAGCGCCTTCTATCGCGTCTCCATATCTTCAATCGCGTTTCCCCAACTGTCTTTCTTCTCCATACATACAAACGATACCTGCAGTGACGAAAACTTTCATCGAGCTTCCACGATGCAACAATCCAGGCAACTGGATGCGTTGAACATGTGTGATGTATGAACAGAGATCTTAGCAGGCTCCGCACCTCTTCTACTTCGTTTCAAATCCCTCTTCTTTCGTACATGTGGTTTTGCGCTGGGCGGATTTGAGAGGAGTTTTGGGGTTGCAGTGACGACAATCGCACCATCTTGAGACGCTCGCCATCACACTGCTGCTCTTGTGGTCTGTGGGCGGATGTCCTCAATGGGGGTTGAGGATGAAGCTCGTGGGCTATGGGGGATGTGGAGGGTGGTTGATGCTTCGCTGAAAGCGGAAATAGTTTTCAATCGGAGCAGCTTTAGTATGTCCCATATTTATCAAGTTACCATGCTTTGCTAATGGTTTCATAGATTTTCTTTCTATAAATCGGACTGGCACGAATCCCGTGCGATGTTTTGTGTTTTGCTACGAGCTGGAAGAGAGTGTTTAAGCCCAGTGATGACCAAGAATCCAAAAAGCCAAAATTGCAGCCCAACCTACTGTTCTGGATTTGCCTTGGCATTGAGAGACGGAAAGTGTTGGGAATGAGAACCTGAGAGCTGATCTGAGGGCCTTTCTTTTTGTTATTTGCACAACTCGCTTTCTGGAAGTGTTGAATCCAAAATTTCCGATGCGGCTATGTGCACGAAGTGGTTTTCTTGTTTCTTGCATGGAGCTGTGTGTCCTAAGAACAAGTAGTTTGGGGATTTCTCTAGCTGCTGCCGAGCGTGCTTTCCCTTCTTTAGCAGCAATATGCTTCCACTTTTATCGGCATTGCTGATTGCGTAAATGCTATAACACCTTATTTCTAATAGGTCGGCCTAACGTCTAGTACATCAAAGCAATCACAATCACATTTATTTCTGAGACTTGATACTGCTATCGTGTGATGCGTGATTAATGTATCAGCTCTTGCGTAACACAGTCCTCGAATACAGGCTGACAGATGGAAAATAACAAGATGGCTAATCCTGTCCAAAGCCATTCGTCACCTCTTGAAATCGTGGGGCTTTATTAGCTTCTGTCTGACGATTCGACGAACCATACCTTGCCTTTGCTTTCTCTATTTCGGTTATTCGTCTATTTGGTTGGTTGGTGGGCCTAAGCGGTTGCCTATGGCCGCGGACGAGAAAGTTGGAGCGAGCCAAGTTGACCTCTGGCTAATTGTACCACCGGCAAGTCGCACCTGCCTTTGCAATATTTCTAGCTAGAACCATGGCTTGGATTCCTGGATGCTGTTTCATCCCTTTCCAAACTTAATAGTCGCACCTTCCTATGTTGACACCTTCCATGAACTCACAACGCCGTTTAGATCTATATACCTAGGTACAACGCTCCAAAACTTCACGAATACTCTTACCTTCAAATTCCCACATCTCGACCATCACATCTTCTTTTGTTCTTTTGCATCATTCAAGACAACTCACACTTATTATCACTTCCCAATTTCAGCTCTAATACTCAAGCAACATCTCAGCGACAAGAGAAGCAATATTCACATGGCCGTCTAGCTTCTTCTACATTCACCCACTCAGACTTTCAATCTTAGACGTGGGTTCAAATTCAACACGTACTCTTCATCTTCACTTCCGGGTCCACGTTCAGCTTTGCCAAAGAACAGAATCTCTTCGGCGGACTTGTGGTTTCACATTCCCTGCGTACCATATATTTTCTTATTTTTCGTCCAAGCTCAACTTATACACAATCCTTACCCAACTATCAATCATCCACAAAGTTTTGAGACATTATTCTCGTCATACAATCACCTACAGAATTGATTAATCATGGTTACCATCCCCAATATTATTAACGGCCAGACTGCCATGCTTCAACCTCCCGTCGGACTCCCCGATCTTTCAACTGCCATTCCTAATGGGAATACAGAAACACTTGTGGCAGCACAACTGGCACAATATGATGTCATCAACCAGCAAATCCTCGACGGTTCTCACATGGCTATTAACCCGAATGTATTCCCGCAGTACGCAGACGGCGACGTGTTGATCATCTCCGGTGCTGGCCAAACATGGCGACTTCACAGCTCATATCTTATAAAGTACTCAAAGATCTTGGCGGGTCTGCTTGACCCCAACAAGGCTGCTCGTGTCACCAGAAAGCAGCGAGAGGCGGGAAGGACGATCAAATGGAAGTTGGAAATGGTTGAGTTTACGGAGAACCCCACTGACTGCCGTCTTCGGTCTTTCAAGCTTGTGGTAAGTTGTCCTAAGCGTCTAATCACATTTCTAGGCTCACTCGGACCTCATTTGTCCAATCTATGCATATGGTTTCTAGTGTGCCATTAATGTGTCAATTTTCGTGGATTGATGTTCTCTTGCAAAGATCCTAGGCTAAGCTTTTCACAGGAGCACTCGTCAAGGAGCACTCTGAGGTTGAACGATGATGTTGCACAGCGGAAAGACAAATACCATAAGGTCTATGATAATCTCTTCAAATGCATCTACAATATCGAGCCCAACCTTACCAAAGACGAAAAGAAGAACGCTGGAATAGACTACATTGCCGATGCCGCCGCTATCTTGCTTGCAGCCGAGCACCTCGACGCTCTCCATAGCCTCCATATCACCCTTGAAGGTATCTTCCTTCGCCTAGGTCAACTGCTCTGGCGTCACATGGCCGCAAAACCAGAGCGCTGGGCTTTCATGGCAGCACGCATCCGATCCCCAATCTTGTTCCGTGAGGCTATGGTCCATGTCGTCGGCAAGCTAGACATGAAGCAAAACATTGATCAGCGTTGGTTCATGAGCAATCCGCTCCGACGCAAGATCCTCGAACTTGCCGAGAAGAAAGTTAAAGAGGTCAAGGAGAAGAAACTTGAAGTTGAGCGTCGACTTCTGGAATACTATCCGCCCCGCATGATGCATATTCAAAAGGGCGATGTTGTTCCCAGTCGTGCAGTTTACGATACCGATATATACCTCTGGCAGGCCCGCTCTCTAGTTCAGCAGTACATATCATCCTCTTACTTCTCGAACTTGCATCACCGCGGTCCCGATGGAGGTGTCCATTTTTACCGTACCATTGGCCATGGCGGCGACGCGTACCTCGGCAAGGATTCGCTTGAACAGTTCTATAACTGCTTTATGATGTCTGGCAAAGGTAAACATTGCTTTTTGGACGCTTTGGACGTTATTAAGGAGGAATTGAAGCCGATTGTTAGGCATCTGCTGCATGATCGCTCGCAAGCTAAGCGGAATGAGGCTGACGATAAGCTTCCGTGGCTCACTTGCGCGAAGATATTGGAGGAGGAATTCCCGTGGGAGCAGGAGTAGGTGGTGGTATCTTTACGGTCATGGCGATATTTTGAATGTCTCACGGGGAGTGGGATATTTTTGATCAAGGGTGTCGGAGGTGGCATTCTTCGCCCACGTTATCTGGGCGGGCATTAGGTTTGGGCATCTCGCAGTGATATATGCAAGTTCGGGGTGGTCTGACTTATTTCTCCGAAGCAGATACATATATTCTAGCCTTTGAGTCATCTTTTATTTTACTTTTACATTTGCATTTGCTTTAGGATGGATGGATGGATGGATGGATGGATGGATGGATGGAGCTTTGGCGCACTATACGCTTCTGTCGTTCTCTCAAAATAAGTGGCACATTGACGGAACGAAGGAGGCTTGCGCATGGGGTGGCTCTGCTGGCTTGCTTATTTACGATTCGTAGATGAATACAAAAGCATGATTTTGAATCATCGACTAGCGGTGAGAAATCATGAAACATTAGGGGATGCTATGCATAACAGCCTGGGCAGTGGGACCTTTGGAAGTTTAGGGGTACTTCGCCATTATATGACCTCCTGGAAGCTTCTAACAATGTTCAAAAAGCCCTGGAACATTCCCACCAAATCTACTGACTTTAGTCAGGTGTAGGAAATTATCAAGCTTCTAGAAATGTCCCCAAGTCTCCTAGATATACGCAAGCAAAGCCTCATATCTGCAAGTGAGGTGTCGCTGAAATGTATCAAACACTCTACTATATATCTCTTAGCTCAGCCTACCATGGCCTGAACAGAGATTTTCAGGGGACCCCGCCAAACGGGCTGGGGCTCCACGCCACGACACGCCACGCCAAGTGTTGCCTGCGTCAGAGTGCAGGATTCTCCGAACCCATGTAGAAGTAGAACCCCAAAATCTGACATAAACACTAACCAAATCCCCATCCTATTTATATCTACACACGTATCCTAATTATCCTTATTCCTACCAAAATACCTGTACAGTATACCGTACGAAACTATCTATTCTACGAATTCGCTAGCTTCTCGGAAGCAAATAACCGCATACATCCGGGGGGGACAAAACTAGAAATACTAGCCGGCTGGAACTGCAGCCCATCTGAACTGCAGCTGCAACATACTCCGTAAAGCCACGCGGATGCCTGTCCTACCAGAATACAACAGGGGCCGAGTGGCGAAGACGCCATTATCGCGATCGAAACGCGGACGGGTTTTCACATATCTAGCATCTCTGTTGGGGCTGTCATGGATAGCCTACGCTCTGATATCGAGAATCACCATGGTGAACGCAGACGAAAGCGTAGATCAATATGGCCTCAACGCGCGACCGGAATTCAAAGACACGATTCAGATCATGGACCTCCCTGCGAAATACATCCCGGAGACCGGCAAGCATAGGAATCCCGGGCGGTTGGTCATTGTGGGGGATGTGCATGGCATGGAGGAATCCCTGGTGCAGCTGCTGGAGAAGGTGGGCTTTAAGGAGAAGCGTGATCATTTGATATTGGCGGGGGATATTATTTCCAAGGGCCCGGATTCGAAGGCTGTGGTGGATTTGGCGCGGAAGCTGGACGCGACGGTCGTTAGGGGGAATCATGAGGATCGTATCATTCTTGCCGCGGCGGATATGATGGCTGAGCATATGGATTTGGATGCGCCGGGTCCGAGCGAGCCGGTGGATAAGGTGCAGGATGTGCTTGAGGAGGTGTCTTTCAATCATGGGGATTATAAGGATAGGAAGCTAGTTAAGGAGTTGGGACAGAAGAGGGTCAACTGGTTGAAGGAATGCCCGGTTATCCTTCGTGTTGGGAAGTTGGGCGATATGGGCCAGGTGGTCGTCGTACATGCGGGTCTTGTTCCTGGTGTAGAGTTGGAGAACCAGGATCCGACTATGGTTATGAACATGCGGACGATTAAGCATGGGGTGCCTAGTGATGAGAGAGAGGGCCATGGCTGGATGGAGGTATGTATCCTCTGAGCCCTGTCCGTCTGTCTACGTACGATTGCTAAAACAATGGTGGCAGGTCTGGAATGAATTCCAAAAACGCCTTCCGAAGCACAAACGCTCCACGGTAATTTACGGCCACGATTCGAAACGAGGACTCCAGATGGAGAAATACAGTATGGGGATAGACACCGGATGTCTGAAGGGAGGAAAACTTTCAGCCATCGTCATAGAAGGTGGCCAGTCGGATCATAAGCACAAGCTAGTTCAGGTCGACTGTAAAGATGGGAGACAGAAATAGATGGTTGGAAAGAGACTGGAATTTTTGCTTTGCTTTTCTTTTCTGGAGTACAGCGATACCATATTATTAGGCAGGCGTTTTTGGGTTAACGGTTTGGGCAACTTGAAAAGAAAGAAAGAAAGAATGGATATACAGACTTACATAAAGTAAGAGGATCACTCCAAAGGTACATTTAACGACGCTTTTATGTGATTGCCTGCAGCGCTCTGAATATTTGAGGATTAGCCGCTCATAGTGCCAGGTGAGCTCTTTCGACCCACCCTCCTTATGTTACGATCTCTTCCAAGGTTTTTAGGTACCAGATCCAAGCACCCCATATTCAAGACTCAGAGTCTAATATATAGCACCGCTCTCCAGATCCGGGTATCTCTCAGTCCTAGCTACCTGGTTTATTTGGCCTGTTGGTATAGAAGTGGAGATGGTCTCCCCCCCTTTTTTTTTCTCGTGCGCTTTGAGTGGACACTGAGGAGAAGTCAAGCCCATCTTCTCAGCCTCAAGGTCGAGAAATAAGTTCTTGTCATCGTGATATATGCTCTCTGTTCTGTTGTCTTTCAATAGCATGGTCTATCGCTAAGATGGTCTGCGAATTATATTCTTGGTTGCTCAAGTGTCAAGTGCAAGCAATTCTTTACACCGTACAGTGCATGCCTCCTTAAAAGCAGGCCCTGCGTGAGAAGTCAAGGTGTATTCAGAAGACTGGGGTCATCTCTAGACCAGCTGTTGCATCAGTCTTCAAGGGTTGGATACATGAATGCAACGCATCTACTAATTCTTGTAAGAGCCTACCTAAAGCGACATGGGTACCGGATACTAAAGCGACTGATTAACGCAGGACTAGCCAGAGGAGCACCTCGACCTCGACTCTGCATTCGCTTCGATCGCTACCTACGCGTCCGGTATATAACTCTCAGCTACCCCCCGCTTTCGAATCTCGCAAGGACAGAAACTACGTTTTTATCCTCACCTTTCAAAACTGAAGTCTATTAATTACCCCCCAAGATCATACACCTCTACTCCTTTCGGCAGCTACGAGCTACGACTCTTTGCAGTTGCACTGCGGGACATTACTGCAGTGTCAAAGCTACAGCTACACATGCTAGTTCCGAATGGGCAATTCTTGTCTATCATATTCGACAACAATCAATTCGCTTCAAGATAGGAAAGTGAGCTGAAGTCATATGTCGAAATAGGCAACGCCGTGCTTATAATCATGATTCATTTCTTACATACTGATCTAAGGTGTGATCTTCTGCATAGGTACAGGTACCTTACTCTCTAGTAGGGATTCAATAGGAAGCGCTTTCTACGCCATCTTGAATTGTTCTAACACCGCCATACCCCCCGTCATCAACTGCCCGCAACGGACCTGCCCCTGCATACTGGCCGTCCATCGCTTATAACTCGGCCCACCATCTAAAATGACCGTCCCCATCGTCACATTAACGTCCAACGCCCCCGCATCTCCAAGATCCATCCAGATGGTGAAACCGGTCGGATCGCCACCGCTGACCGACGGCGGGTATTGGTCATCGCCTCCAGAGGGACGAACGGTCAGGGACGAGGCTTCGCAGCTCGAGAAGACGATTTCGCCGTCTTTGGAGGCGTATGCGGAGACATATTCGGTACCATCGAGGCCGAGGGTATCGAACCAAACGATCGAGTAGGCGCCGAGTCGGCCGTGGCCCCAGTACCAAGATGCTACGTTTTGTTGGAAGGGTTGGTCGCTCCAATTCTAGGGAATGAATGTTAGAAGATGTTTAATGTACGGATATATGGATGGATGGATCGGGAAGGGAAGAGTGAGTACCTTGTCATGATACGCTACGCCTTCAAACTCCATCTCAGTGCCCAAAATCGACAAGTTGACTGTTCCCACAGCATCAGGCATTGCGTTCGACCAGCCGATATGTGGCGCTACCGTCATGTCTTGGCCAGCTGTAGCAGGTCCACAGGGATAATGCGCTGGCGCCAGTGTCTCCAGCGTGAAGGTTCCCGAGATGCCGTGTTCAGGAGAATTAACATTGATCTCGTAACGAGATAGATCGGGGCTGCCGCTCCAGCTCGTTCCAGTTCCTACATATTGCCCGGATGAGCCATTGTCGTCGATGGTGATGTTTGCCTCCAAAGCATATATGAATATGCTGTCGCAGGTACCGTTGGGGAAGCTGTAGAATACACCTATGACGTCGACGTTGGAGGATGGTGGGACGAAGGGGAAGCTGGAGTTAAGGGTCGTGAAGAAGACGACTGTGAGGGACGTGAGTAGATCGGGGGAGACGACGTCGAAGTACCACCAGTCGAAGGAGGTTGAGTTGACCGCTGAGAGCTGAGGCCCGTCTAGGTTGTCATTTGCAGATTGGAAGTTTGCTATGATGTCCCCGGTGACTGCTTGCGAGGGGATTGTCTTGATTTGAGGGGCCCCTCTGGGAAAGATAGCGGTGGGGATTAGTGACGAAGCTGGGAGGACCAGGAGGAGCATTGAAAGCAGGAATGCGCTGCTTCTGGGCCACTTTTGGGACGCCATTGCAGAGTAAGGCTGGCTCGAATGGAGTGGAAAGGGAAACTTTGAAGCGAAAGTCAAAGATCAACAAAAAAGCTTATCTTGAGGAATGTGAAGGACTGTGAATTGCGAAGCAACAAATTCACTGGCGAGGTTATTGAAAGGCTGTCCAAAAAACCCCCGACCAATGGGAGACTGATTATGCTAGCACAGCATATAGTTGGAGTTGATTAATATCCCCATCCAGCACACCGTATTGCCAGAAACAGACCAGTGTCATGGCATTGCTCTCTGACTCTAGAGTAGGTTGGTAATTGCCTAGGCAGGTGGCTTGTAATTGAAGTAATTACGCGGCAATGGGCTCAATAGCAACGGACATGGTTTGTTTTTGATCTGCCCGCTTCCCGAGACTCCCACGGGTAAGAGGAACATGTTCCACGGACATGGTGGGCGATGACCAGTAATAAGAGTAATGGCGCGGATAATATTTCCACATGATTAGCAGGAAGTGAGTAGAGAAGACTGTGGCTTCATCAGCCTATTGATGCATACATATCCCATGCTTCACATTATCCACATCTGAACATTCGGCGGTGGCCCTTCCCACTTCGGATCCGTCTCATGCTCCAAGTCCCATCGAATGCTGTCCACATTGAACTGCACATGTTGAATCTCTGACCCTGTATCGCCCACCTCAACCTGTGTTGTTTGCCTCCCATCATACATCATCCGTGTTTGCCGTAGACCGCGATCATAATCATGCTTCAACACAAGCGCCAGCGTCTTCAAATTCCGCATGATTCTCACCTCACCTAGATTGGCCGGCCGGAAAACTCGCAGCACTTCCCATAACTGCGCATCAATAGCACAATACAGCACCTTCTGGCTCTGCGGGCTCCTGGCCAGATCCAGCGCTAGATCGCCTTCCGGACTGCAGTCTAGGTTGTCGAAGAAGATGGTGTCGCGTGTGAAGTCGACCCAGATGGATGATTCGAATTTCTGGGAGAGTCTGAGGTTTTCGTAGATAGAGGTGAACTTGCGCCGCGATTCTGAGCAGACGTGGAGGAGGACTGGAGGGGAAGAGTCGCTGGTGTATTGTTGTTGTTGTCTGTTGTAGCGTATGGGGACGACACGCGGGCCGGGGAGCGCGAATTCGTAAATTTTGACGCGCAGTTCATAGGGTAAACGGGCGAAGAGGGGGAAGGTTTGCAAGGAAGTCATGTTGTGTTTGGTTTTCGTTGATACTGGCGTTGTAAAAGGGAAGGAATATCAGACAGAGGTGTAGTGAAATCGATGATGCCGTCTTGGTATCCACAGGGCTAAGCGTTTTATGTCTCCTTGCTGTAGCACATTCAAACTGAGGCCTACTTTTAGTATGGAAATATTGATTTAGACTCTTCGGTCTGAGCTTGTGTTGCGGTTGTTGGGGGGCATATATTGTACATACAATATTTATTAAGAAGAAGCTCTCGACATTTGACCCCTCCCCTGTACATAGCCCTAGCCCCCCCGCCCCCCAACTAGCGCCTGTACTCGTACTCGTGCCTTAGTTCAACTTCAACATACTTCATCAACATTCTCAAAGCAACTGTTAACAATTACGCCTTTTGAGCACCACTTAACTCGTCATCAAATATTTGTAGCCACTGTCATATTTAGCCTTGCCAGTGGATAGTGGCTGATATAACTCACGACATTCCTCCGATCAGCCTCCAGCTCCAGACATGGTATCTCAATCAAGCCGCACGTTCCAGAGCGACAAAGAATAATTCGTGTTAATTGGCATCTTACTCGATGTAAAGTTCGACGACAAGTGGACAATCTCGTGCTGGACACACAGACTCTTGATCATCAACATCTGATATCCCAGTCCGCCTGACACATTATAAATTGATGCTGTTTGTATGGCGAGGTCCTCAAATGAACTATCTAGTCAACTACACAAAGCCTTCGAGATCACTCTCATCGGAAGCCCGAAGCAATTTCTACCCAGGGGAATACTAGACCACGAGTACCCTAGGGAAGCTCTCGTCCACCAACAATTCCATGTCTGTTGCGATAAACTCAAACTTCTGCCTGGTCTGAGACAGCTCAAAGCATGGGGAGAAGCAGGATACGCAGAGTACAGTTAAACAGCCATCAAAAAGGATCGCTGTACGCTCGGCTTTGGACGTCGCTTCTGATCTGAGAGGTAGAGGGAAAAGGCAATCGGTGAAATGTCGATAAAAGCTTATACGTAGCTTGGCGGCTTTGGAATTCACATTTTCCAAACGACTAATGGAAACTCCTCCAGATATTCCCTGTCGATGTCAGCTAATAGCGGAATCGAGCATCGCTATCCAGTGATTGAACCCGGTGGTGGAGACTGTACGGTCGAGCTAAAGAAGCTGGCCGAGAAGGGGATAAGATAGCCAGCGACAGCGACTGCAACCAGGAACAGAGACACTACATTGGCTAGGAAATTTGGTATCGTTGAAGTTTGGCATTGTTTCAGCTGTCTGACATGACTTCACGAGGTATGAAATATGTTCCCTTGGATTTTAGTATGCTCTACTTTTGAAACTTGCTATTTGTCCAATCCGCACTGCCAGCGACCGCCATTGCGTCGGTAATCTCAGCGCATACACGATCCACGTTCTTCAAAAGCGCAAGATCGTCTGTTTGCACGAAACAGAACTGGCCTTTGGGGCATAACTTCTGGCACTCAGAGGTGATTGTATCGGCTGCAGATTTCCTTCTTGCAACGATGTAGGCGCGGAAACCTTGTCCCTCGTTTGCATGGCTAGCTAGCGCTCGTAGGACGTATGTACCGATTCCAGAAGTGCTCACAAAGACGGCAACGAGGGGTTGGGACTTAACTAAAGCTACGTTGGCAGGTTTCACCACGTCGAGGCTGACCATGGCGGATAGGGCGAGGGTTTGTTATGGGATTACAGTAGAAAGAGAGTGGAAGTGTCAAGCAAGTGGAATCTCAAACTGTTGTATTGCTGGTTGAATGAGAAGTAGCAATTGAGGTAGGGAAGGAAGAGATAATGATCCGTCACTTATCACTGAACCTGCACTGCCTGCAGATATGATTGAACTTCCATCGTGATATCACCGTGTCTCTGCCGGTGGCATAAGGTTTATATAGAATTGTGTCACAAAAGCTATATGTTACACCTTACTGCTATATCGCATTCGCTTCCTTCTTTTTCATTAGACGTTAAAGCTAATGTGTCCCACATCTACTACTTCTGAGATGAATATATGGCCCGATAGTTTGAGTCTAGTTGATTAATTTCTTACTTAGATGCCCAGAACGTATCTCGGTAAGCTTATAGTACCTCTGATGTTTGGTCAATATAAAACAAGGTAGGTCCGGTCTGAAGCAGCGGTTGTCAAAGCTCTCCGCTTTTTTTCGCATTCGCTTAAATCTGAAAGGGGTGGCTGACAAGCGGGGTTATATATAGTTTTGCAATCTTGGGGCTTTCTTACTACATGAATGGTCGCCAACTTCAAACGGTATTGTCACGTCTCTGATCTTTCTATTTCTACGAACCACCTTACCACATCTTTGTTCTTTATTGATATGCTGTCTTGTTTCGGTTATAAAAGTCACCTTCTACAGCAAATCAGGTCAATATGATCAGAAGAAAAAAGATGATTCATTTCCTAGCTAACGAGCAAACTTCTTCCCTTGGCCCAGAGGAGTCAATGGCCTTTCTCAACTCTCACTTTGCAACCTTTCAGCCGTTTTGCCCCACAGCCCTTACACATACGAGCAGGTGAGGGTGGTGCCGGAAGTGGAGCACTTGGTCAGGTCCTTGTCGTTGACTTCGACCTCGGTAATGGTGCTCTGGCTAAGAGCAACATTCTCGCCGTTTGCAGTGGCGGAGCAATCGGTGAACGCAACGGCGGGGGAGAAGGATGCAAAGGCCACAGGCTGGCAGTTGCTACCATCCGAATCGCACTCCTCAAAGTCCTCGATGATGAACTCGGCGTCCGTCTGGCAAAGCGAGCCTGAGGTTTCATCAGTGAAGGTTTTGGACACCTTCTTGCCTGTCGTCAGGTTTTCTATCGTAGCCGAACCGCTGTTCGCGCTCGTGGCAGTAACAGACATCTTGATATCATCGCCCTCAGATATGGTGAGGCCCGTGAAATCGGCTGCGCAGAATCAGTTTTCTGTCCTTCATCCTTCACGTCTGGGACAGAACACTTACCAGCATTGTCGGGGTACCATTCATACCATGCATCGTAGGTCCCATCACCGTACCAGTCGAAGCCCGTCTGTAGGATAGCGGTCTGGCAGCTGGCACCGTCAATGCCAACCCAAGCCGAGCCCGCCGCGCTGGAGGAGCCACTGCCCTTGGGGGCATTAGCGGTAGCTGAGACGTCTGTGAAGCCCGAGCTCTCTAGGATGGCACCACCCCAGTTCGATTGGACAGTCGCATCTGGTACATGTTCCGTGACGGTGGAGTTTTTATATGGTGCCGTGCGCCTTCCCCGGCTTTGGCGGCGTGCAAGGTGACGGGCCTGGGTACGGCTCGCGGGCACGGCCGCTAAGGCTGCTTCAATACAGAGGAGTGCGGAGAGGATGTTAGTAGTGAACTTCATGTTGTCGATTGAGACGAAAGATAGAGTAAGGTTAATTGGTGGGAATGGACTGGTAATTTGCGTCTGAAGATTGCTAAGTGCGAGATGATGTTCAAGGAGAGGTTATAATCAAGATACTTATAGTCAACGACTGGCTATTGTAGTATCATGGTCTTGTGATGATGACCTGAAGTTTGTAAGCTGGGAGGCATTCTGAACTAGATGCTCAAACACCTTCCATATCAATAGGCATCTCCAGGTTGCCAGGTAGAATCATATTCCTCAAAAGGATGGTCCTATATGATCGGCGGACAAGTGTGATGATAGGACTATTATTGACAAGCTACCACCAGTACCAGGCAATAGGGGAGTCTTCAAAGGGATCAGTTGGATAAAGTCGGCAGGTCAGTATAAGGTTTCCGCCAGTTTAACAAGCTAATACTACGTAAACACAACGAGTTTCCTCAAGAGGACCAGTTTGTTGTATTCGGCAAGCTAGCGTGATCCCGAGACAGCTGTCGGATACTTCGTATCATGTTTACTGCCGGTCCGATAGGATTCATGTCTAGGCTAGGGAGCCCGGTTTGTAACCTTATAATCGTTATTACGAAATCTCTTATACTTTATCTATTTGAAATATAGCAAACATTATGTGCTGGTTGGACATGATTACTGCCAGCACTACATCAAACCAACACAACAAGACAATGCTATGTAATAGGCACTCGTATACGAAGTACAGATATATATAAATAGGGTAAGAAACAGTATATTTTTGGGCAGCCTAGTAATAGCAGTCAGGATTTGGCTTGGCTACGTGGAAACTTTTCTCCGCATTCTTAGACTTTATGATAATAAGGAAGGTGGAGTTTGATAAAAAGTAAGCTTAAGATCTAGTTATCCGTTTGAAGTCTAGCTAGTATCCGTATTCGGAAAATGCTGAAGCGGGGTTCAGGGGGCCTGTTGGCTCAAAAATACGAGGACCGAACGAGAACACCTTTAACTTTGATAAGCTTTTTGAGGCGAAAGCTTGTTTATTTTGTAGTATCTTCGAATGCGAATCCCGGGCTATAAATATATATACTATAGCTTTGCGGTGTTTATTAATGTTGACCTGCGGGGGAGGTAAATTTACTTGGCAGCTATCTACTGCCCGCCCCCACCCCCAGAATACATATTGTATGAAACTTTTACGTGATATGCCACCAATAACACTGCTCACTGTAGTCAATATAGGGAGATAGTAATCCCGAATAGTACTGTAGCAATCGGCCGCTAAGCGGAGCAGGTTGCGCATCGACGCTGAAATGATGATCTATTGTAGATCGGCCAATACAACTTCTGCCACATATTTTACAATATAGCACACCTTCATCGTCGAGGTATAATATACCGGTAGGTACGTATACGAGTAATCTTTTACATTAATATACAACTCACACTGTAGAGCACGCCCACTAATCAATCATAACAGCTACACATCAAACTTCGCAACTTCCTCCGGATGACGGGCAATAACAAGTTTCAATGCCGCAGCCTAGATAAGATATTATCGTCCTCTGCTAACCCTGCGGGTCCTAAAAGGAATAGCCTGTTTCACCTCCTTTCCTGACTCCCAGGGAGTTCCTTTTCCCTCAGAACTTCAGAAGGCCATGAAATCTTCAGATCGTCTGGTCAATCCACGCCGCAGAATCACAAAACGACTGATCAGAAACTACAAAGGCATTTGATGAGTTCTGTGTGGTGAAGCCAAAACAAGTGCCCGGATGATCATCATTATCAAGGCTATTTCGCCAACACACGGCATTGCAAATTTGATTGTGGCCTAACGCAATGCTAGAAGCGCTTTGCACATTATATGCGGCGCATAAGTTAATGCAGCTGTCTAGGCTTGATGCCTTCTGGTTCACCGAATTTTCGTTAGACGCTGCGTTGATATTGAGAAAGGTTTTGCCGCACATCTTGCGGAAGTTCATGGTAGTTGAGCCAAGAGATATGCCGTAAAGTGTGTTGTTAGATGAAGGGCAGTCGCGGAGGAGGGTGTAGGAGGGACCGATGATTTGCGTGGTCGAAGCGGCTTGTGTGCTTGTCAGAGACGGAGCGTTTGAGTTTGTGGATTGGCTGCTGCTTGCAGCAGACGTTGTTGGAGGCTGCACCGATACTTCTGAGCTTGTTGGAGAGGGAGTCGTTGAGTTTATGGACTGGCCACTGCTGGTGGCAGACGTGTTTGAACGCTGCACTGAAGTTTCTGAATTGGGAAAAGAAGATTCAGCGACACTGCTGGTTTTTGAAGCCAGACTTCCTCCAACGCCGCCACCCACTGCGGCTCCAATAATCACTACTATTCCGACAATCGCGATCCAAAATGTCCTCAGGGCCAAGCCACAAATGCGACGATCTTGGTTGACTGGAGAATTGTACGGCTCATTAATACAGAGAAGATGAGCTTTTGACAGACTGGAATTGGTCTTATCAAGTTCGAGTCCTGCCGGACAATGGCTTTTATGGTGCTCGAGACCAGAGCTGGGAGCCACTTCTAGGTCTGAATATGGTGTAGCCATATTTCCTTCTACCAAAGCAATTGCATGAATTTTGGATGCGAATGACTAGGATGCGATCAAAAGCGCATAACCAAATCCAAAGTATCTTAGAGGAGAAGCTTTGAAGTGTAGCATAGTAGTAAAGCTAAGCGCCTGTTACCACAGGACATCCTCCTGTAATTGTCATCGCGGTTTCACCTCGTCTAAGAATAAATAGTTGCATGTCAACTATATATATCTATCGATTACTGATACACCTATTATCCAGTGCACAGCATGAACGGGGTCGGAAATGCAAGCTGCACGTCTTGCATATGCGAGGCATGAAAGCCTGACCAGGCAAGCTTTACACATGTTTTCTTGCACAAAGAGATCCGGACTCTATATGAACTACAAACCCTTATATATTGCAACTTGGTCTCTTAAAGTAGGTATTTCCAAGAAGTATTGAATTACTATTTTTATATTTTCTTTGAATAAAGAGTTGAGTTGTTACCCCCCAGCTTCTTCCAACTTTCTTACACGAGCCGCCTCAGCCTGACGTCGCAGCATTGTCTGGTCCTGACGGTTTGAATATTTCCTTCGCTTCCTTAATTTCGGACTCGAGGTTATTGTTTGGAGATATGTCGAAAGCCATCTCCATATTGTAAATCCCGCGTTTAAGTTCAGCCTGAATTGGGCCATCTGGATGAATTCGGGCCGCCCTCACTTGCAAAAACCCAAGATGAGGAAGCAGTTCTGCTTTCGTCCTGGGACAAACAAGACGAATGTACATCAATATGTCATTTGCTCTGGAGGCAAGGGCAAGGGCTGGTCCATATCGGCCAATATTCCTTTCCATTTTCGAGGCAATTATGTAGACCTGGATTTGAACAAATCCGATCTCGTTCTGGGCAGTATCAACCCCCCCGCAAGGTCAGCAGCATCGTAATACGTGATATGGCCTCTCCTCGCTTCCTCAACGCGCTTTTTCAGATCGGAGAATTGCCGCGCATGAGCAGAGACAAATCGACGAGAATGTGCAGTCACTTTAAGTTCTCGCCAGGTCCTCGGGGGCTTTCAAATTTACGAAGAATTTCGGAAGTTGCCCGAGTATTGCCAACGAAAGCGTCTAGTGGCAGATCTTGCGTGGTCCGGAATTGAAGTTGTGGCAACCAAAAACATCTTCTTGACAGTAATGGCATCAAGAAGATGTAGCAAGCTCGAAAGCTATCGGGTTGTCGTGCTTGCAAACATCAAACGATGGGAGCCCCCGGTGTCCTAGTGTTCTTTTGGAGTTAATTTGATTGTGAGCGCATAGCTTCCAGCTTTCTTCTAGTCCCCATTCCTCATACCAATCAAAGGGACTGCAAATTCCCAGTCACTATTCCGAATGCTGGGGCTCCAGGCCGTCTCAATAGAAATGAAAGCATTACTCGAGCGAGAGTATTTGAGGCTTTCAGTGGATATCTGCTTATTGATTTGGAAAAGCGCCACTGCGAAGTTCAAGTGTTGTCGACATGGCCTCTCCTGTCTCTTGAGGATAGGAATATGAGTTCCAGTTTCCCACTTGGCTCGATGGATGATACATTCTGGTCTAATAGTAGAAAAGTGCATATAAAACGTCGAATTTCAAGAGGAACTTCTATGAAAGTAGATCCGAGGACTGCCTGAGAAACCATCACGCCGTTTGATAGCTTCACCGGGAAAACACCGTTATCCTAAAGATTAATAACGTAGGTTGGAAAGTTGTTTATAATTGTTTATAAAAAATGTATAGTTTTACGAGTGAAGACACGACTATGTCCCTTTCAATAGCAGCCTTAACAGCTCTCATCGGAACATGACATTGTGAAACATTGCGCAACTGATTCCCAACACGCCACTTCCTCAAGAAACATGCCTACCTCACTAGAGGTTCAAAACAACTCCAAGTAGATAGACAAATACGTCCTCATCACAAACGTCACACTCTTTACATAGAGTCATTTTGTTTTTCATATCCCATATTATTTCATCCGCCCATCCCCAATCCATCTATGTACTAGCACCCTTCCCATATCATGCAAAAAAGTACACTATGTACGTCCGTCCGTCCGTTAATTCTTTCCCACCAAGCACAAAAGCCAAGCCAATCAAGTTATTAAAACTCCCCTTCCTTTTGCCTCCCTCTCCTCGACCCCTTCCTTTACCCCTACTCCCCCACCAATTACATCATATCAAAAACAAAACCAAAGAGTAGAACAAAAAGAGCCACCCTAATCATATCATCATCAAGAATTGAATCGAAAATGTATAGTAACAAGCTCGCGCGCTGAAAAAGTTGGAGGGGTGTGGTGTGGAGAGTCGATCGTAAGTGAAGACATAATTAGGTTGTGGTGGTCGAAGCTCAAGTAGAATCCTCCCGCTTCCCTCTCTTGGATCTCTCGTTCCATCTCCGCTTCCCGACTCTCGTTTCGAAATGTGGTGCGACAGCGATATCTTTGCCAGCGCCTTGCATCGAATCAAGGACTTTGGCGCGGTAGGCATCCACTGTTCGGTATTAGTGTCATGTTTATTCAGCGACGGGGGTATTGATAGGACTTACAAGCCTTTTGCAAGAACACCGTCTTATCCGCAAAGACTCTGCTCTGATGCCAGGTCAAGCGATATCCCAGATCATTCAGCTTCACCTCCTTGGACCGAACACTATTCCGCATCTTCGGGACCTCAACTTCGCCCTCGCCACCATCCGTGAGCGGCACATTGACTGCCATGCGACCCTTCTCCCGTCGACCACCTCTCGCGCTTCCACTCGGCTCAACCTCATCACCACCATCAAAATCGTCAGTCTCGAAGAATCGGCTTCCTCTTGCGCTCGGTGGCGGACTCTGCATCTCAAGCGGGAACCAGCTACGGGGGAAAACAGAGTTCTTCTTTCGGAATGAGTCGGGGATTTCCTTTATGTCGACTGTGTCCAGTGTAACTCTCACTCGGACTCTGTTGCCCTTGCCTGGATCATCGACTAGAATGAACTTGCGCTTCTTCGCCTCGGGAATATCGCCGAAGAGGACATTTCGTTCATCCTCGTCAAGTGGAGATTTCGCATGCGATCGCGATGCGGCGATGGGGGTGCTGTGGGAAGCGTGTGGCGTAGCTTGGTGTTGGCCGTGAATTGAAGGAGCCATGGAAGCGCCGCCTACGGATGGATCAGGAGGGTAGGAGCCTGGGTAGCCCGAAAAGACGTGAGCTTGACGAACATCGCCGTTTTGTTGTCCTGGCGACGATCCATTCGGTGCTTGGTGGTGGTGGTGATGGCCTTCGTCCATGTATTCGTCGTCATCTAGGTGCGCGCAGGATCAAATTAGCATCTCACTTTAGCCGGTAAGCGAAGTAGTGTGTGATGCGTAGGAATCGGAAATGACGGGGGAAGATATACAGGAATGCGAATAAATGATGAGGGGCAGGGTATAAGGTGGGTGACGCTCAGGGTAAGCAAGAAGCAACCACTTGCAATGATGTATTATACAAAGAAGCCAAAATGTTTAGACCCAGACAAATGATTCCGATCCCAAAGTCTTTCCCGTTCAACAGGTATATTCGCAAGAAAGGTATCATGACACAATAATAATATAATCACAGCTTTATCACATCTGGTGAAACATACCGACATCCTCTCCTTGAGTACTTCCATCAGGGTGGGTTTGGTGGTGGTGGTGAAGCTGACCACCACCCATCCCACTCAAGCTAGGCTTGCCCATGTTACCCGCACTACCTGGACCCATGTTTCCGGATGGTGGCATCCCTGGCGGACCAGTAGCGCCAGCCATGTGAGGAGTATGGGTAGCCGCCTGAACAGCCTTACGGTTGTTGATTTTCGCCATTCTGCGAACGCGTCTACTCCGCAATCGCGCGTCTTGATTGCTGTTTCTCCAAGAATCGACTGCTCTCTGGATTAATCCTCTTTTTCCACGCAGACATGGATTTAACTCGGCCAGAGCCCAACCGACAGTGTTACACTCCGTTTCGTACACGAGGCGGTTTCCTCGGTACTGATCCTTGCTGCAACAAGCGCGTGGATAAACACAGTTCTCCGTTTTAAACTCAGGACTTAAAGTGTCAACATTGACTGATTCCACGTCACATCTGATGGTGTATTCCATCTTCACGCGGTCTCGTGAATATTCGAAAGCGATCCATTGAACGCCATTGTTATCTTGCCGGACAACCAAGGGAGTTGTCGCTGGAATCGGGCCTGGCGCAGCATTTGGATTTACACCAGCGCCGCCTGGAACATTATTTTGCTGCATTTGTGCTCCATTTGCAGGATGCTGTTGCGGGGGCCCCAGAGGAGCGGCTGGTCGCGTCATTTGTGGCACATGTGGCTCCATCTTCGGTCTCGGGCTGCCGTTATCCCTTGTTGCTGTGGATGGTGTTGCGGATGCTGCTGCATCTGGTGTTGGCCCGGAGTTTGTGACATAAGAAGGTTTGGTTGCGAAGTCATCGATGGGTGATGCTGCTGTTGTTGTGGATGCGGCGCGTAAGGAGATGGCCCAGTCTGCGGTGCCATGGGCGGAGGGTACTGTTGTTGCTGAGGACCCGCGTAATACATCTGCGGATTCTGTTGTAATTGCGAACCTGGCGCAGCATACATATGGCGCTGGTCGTGTGCAGATGGAGAAGCAACTGACGCAGGAGAGTTCGATTGTGGGGTGTGATAGGATATTGGGGGGTATGGACGCGACATTTGTGTTGCCGCCATAATGTCGGGGGTATCTGCTTAGTTGGTTAGCTGTTGAATTCCAATACAAGCGCGTTCCGATGTGCGACTGCTTACCTGCAGATGAGTATGTTCCCGACGCGCTTGGTGTGCTATATGGACTCGGAGCTGCTTGTGTCGCGTAGTATGGCAGCTCGTGGGAAGGTTGTCCTCCTTGGCTAGGCGCGCTTTGGGGATATTGAGGCAGACCGTGAGTGGGAGCCTGGTATGGATTCGAGTGATGTGGTTGAGGAGGAGGGGCTTGCTGCTGGTGATGTTGATGTACAATGCTCGAGGGTCGAGCCTGCTGGAGGTGATGCGGTGGAGGACCCTGCTGGGCGTGGTGGGGATGATGCTGCATAGGAGGCCAAATATTAGCAATCTTTCTCAAGCTTGGTAGTAAATGCAGCCGCAAGAGATAATAACCATGGAGAGAAGCAAGTCGCGTCGCGATGATTGTTTTGACACTTAGGACATATGAAAGGGTGCTGGCAATCCCTGCGACGAGGGTGCTTCTGCAGGAGGCGCTTCCTTGAGTCGGATCTCTCTTTTGGAAAGTAGCGCCTGGAAAGAATGGAGAAAAAATGAGTGTTGCTGGTTGTGGAGAGCTGGGATAGGAAAGAAAGGGCGAGGGTATACCTCAGTATCTCAGTATCGCAAAACCCTTGTCCTGCTAATGCCTGCGATCCTATTACAAAAAGGTTTAGACAACAAGGAATCGTTTATAAGCGACGAGGTAATGTCCGAATATTGTTTCCTCCCCTCGCACAATAAACTTTTGATTGAAGTGGAGTTGTGACGAGGGTATTAAAGGCCTGGAATTGGAGAGATCTTCTGCAATATAGGAGAATATCAAGGAAAACGGGTAGACGGAAAAATGATCAGAGCGAGGATGAATGTACAGAAGAGGAACAGGATAAGACGAACGGACGGGGGTTGTTTGGACGGTGATGGCGAAGACCGCGACTAGGCAGGGGAGAGTTGAAGATGTGGAGGGATTTGCGAATGGCGGTGCAGTTTGAGTAAGGGTCTGGAAGGAGAGGGAGGTAAGAAGGGGCAGGGGGTGGGGTTTTGATATGGGGATATGGGGGAGATGGGAAAGTGAATAGAATACAGTGGCAGTGGGGGGACGACGACAGCGCATGGAAGAAACGTGACAAGGTATATATCGCAATGCGGTGAAGTGGACGGAGGGGGGTGAAATGTGCAGGCGGTGCAGGCGTGTGCTGACCAATGAGATCGAAGGACAATAAGAGGCCGGGAACGCTGAACGGGCAGCTAAGCAGTAGCCTCGGACATGGGAACAAGTAGCGCTTGCTGGAGTGGGACTAGACTCAAGCTTGCAGAGGGACTAGAGCTGCACTTGGGCACTAGCGCTAGCACTAGGACACCTTAATCTGGTGGGACGGTGGGACGATGGTGCGGATGAGAAAGAGGAAGGACAGCACTGGGCAACCTCGACAGCCTCGACAGGGAATCCGCGGGTAACAGTTTAAACAGAAGGATGACGCGTGGACTAGCAGCGGGTGAAATTGCAGGCTGGCGCTGGCTGGTAGGTTTGCCTGTTGCGCGGCGCGGAGTCTTGGCAAACCAAGCCACCCACCCATCCACTCACCCCACCCCACTATTCTGCCACACGAGAAACATGGTGTTTACTAAGCAAGCGAGCAAGCAAGCAGACAGACAAAATACCAAACCGACCTCCTCGAGTATAGGTAGGTAGCTAAGTAACTGAATGTTTCATCCGAAATAGGATGCCGCCCACTTGATGAAGAGTACTCTGCATCTCGGCTCCACTGTGCTCCCCGTCGCAAAATCCCCAATCCAGAAACAATTGTCAGGATCGTCACGCAAACGAATAATCCAATTTGCCCTGCAGGTAGGTGTGCGCGACATAAGGTACTCAATGAGCGGCATGGACAGGAACTCAGGCCAAAGCTTGACATAAAGCCACATCATACAAAGAACAGAACGCACTGAACTCAAAATCAAAGATTGGATAGAATAAAAACGTCCAAGACCACCGAGTAGCGACTAGCTGCATTGGGCAGCAAGGTAAGACCCTTGTCTCATGAGCCCAGTCCATTGTGAAACGAGTCCGTCAACTTTGAGCCAAGAGCCGTGGCCACCACCGCATACCATGCATGCATAAGCTAAGGTACTGTAATGGCTGGGCTGGGATCTCGAGTCCACCTCCGCGGCTCCCCACTGATCCCACCGGCCCCTCACCCGTGATTTTCTAGAACTGGAAAACATCCAAGCCACACCCAGGCGCATGCATCCCTGGGCCAAAACAGAGCGGCTTGCGAGTTCTGGCCCGATTCTCAGGTAGGAAAAGGAATCAATCGTGACTGTGTAGCCTATATGCATATGCATATGGAACACAAACGCGATAACAGAAATTCGATAAAATGGTTACAGGACTGGACTGGACTGGACTGGTGGAAAGAGCTGTGCTGTGTACTTACGTGATCGCCCGCCACGGCAACACCTGGTTCCTCTTTGTATCCTCCTCCACTCTGTCGATGAGCCATCTCGGTAGATGCGCACGCAGCCCTGTTGAAGATACATTAGCCACAGCCCTTGATCATCCGGCAGCTACAAGTGTACAGTGGCGCCGTTGCAAACTATATTTTCAATGGTCGCCTCAAGAAGCAGTGCAGAAGCAGGGCATGGCGTGCCATGGCTTGCCTTGCAACGTCCGTGCGCCCCATATCAAATTACAGGGAGGGGAGGGGAAGCTGCCGCCTCAACTTACTTTGCTAATAAATAGTCTTCAACAATGCTTCCTTCCTTCGATGAGGCGCGACTTTCGGATGCGATGTGAAACGTCTAGCGTGTAATTGTACAGTCTTGCCACGGCGTATCTGCTTCGGTTCCGAGTTAGCATATGTCAAGAAGACGGCAGTGCAAGATTCTGCTGTAATACGATCGCCGAAACGCATCATGGGACATGGTAGGACCAAAATAGAATGCAGATTCCAGATGAATTTCAAGCCCCAGAGGCGATCATCCCACGGCAACACAAAGCGCCTAAATTGAGCAGATAAATCGCAATGCGATAAATGCAAAAGATACACATCAGGTTATTTCTTACAAATAACTTCCTGACGGAAGCAGCTCAATCTGCGCCACTTCGCGACTGAAATTATCCGACTCAAAACGGAATTCGAGTATCAAGGGGAAAATCAACTGGGGTTTGTGGGGTAAATAAAGACATGGTAGTGTGTTCAACGGTCGGGGGTACTGGCAGATGCTGGAGTAGTGCAGAAATAGGACGGTCCGACAAACACAAAAGATACATAGAATGACGCGCTCCGATGCTGATCGATAATAGAGTGTGCAAAGGTACAATGTACAAGGTTGTGGCACAGAGTTGAACAGCGATGTGGGCCGTCGCGTGCGCCTTGTGTAGGAAGTCCACGTTTTCTCGTGACTAGGTCGCTGGACCTTGGGAACCAAATTGACATGACATGCTAGAAATAACGGCTGCGTGAACTTACTTTTTCCTATTTTGAAGTCCCAAGCGGAAGATGGCGATTCGCAAGAATGATTCAAAGCCTAAGGTCCTCGTGTCAGTTTCGTGTTCATGTAGCGGGGATATGTAAATGATAGGCAGAATCTTGCAGATGTACAAGGCTAGCGCATGCGTGCGCGAAGGGAAGTTGCATACAAAAAGACTCAATGACTTTGACTGCAGCGTACTGCTTGCTGCACAGAGCTCAATGACGCAAAGACAATCGGGGACGAGGCTGGAAGATGGATGCAGCTGCAACGGGTTGACGGGGGCTTCAATGAAAACCGTTGTCAGTGAAAAGACCAGGTAAAGTGTGTTGGGGTCTCTGGGCTTGGGGAGATAATATACAGGCATGGATGCTTGATAAACAAGTGGCCAGGGCAAGACGGCAAGACACCCACACTTCGGCACATTTATTAAGGAAGATGATGGGGCGTGCAGCCCACAAGACATGGGGTTAGAGTTGGGCTGGTCATGCAGCGGCCCTCGGTCATGGATGCCCCTTCGCTTACACGGCCTGGGCCAACCGCCCAGCGGGGAGAAACAAGGATGGGGTGCGCCAGCACGACAGGTCAAGAGTAAAGTTTTGGGTAGAGATGCTAGAATAACAAACAAAAAGCCAGGCCCAGAACGTACCTTTGGGGAGTTCAATGTAGATGTAGCTTTTATCGCGACCTTGTTATGGAGGGGTAACAATCCGATGTATTTTGCACGAGGGGCTCTCTCGCGGCTGACACTTTTGCTGTCAAATTGTTAGTCTCTGCGTCTCCGTGTAAACTAAGGTGTTTCCCTTACAGCTCGGCGCGTCGAGGTGGGTGTCGGGAGGGATCTGTGAATGGGTTCCTGTACGACAGTATCTGAAGAGTATGTATTCTCAAGATCTCGCGCTTGTGGCAGTCTGTATTTCTACGTCTCCTAAGTCTTTGCGGAAGAACTTCTCCGTAGGTAACTCGATCGGGACGGCTCCGTGGCGCGCACGATCAAGGTGTTCCCTTTTTAAGAGAAGAGATCTGGAGTTGATCGTGTGATAGCGTCGCGCCCTCAGATAGAGTGACTGCTGTGTGCGCTTGCTTCTCCCGGAGCTGCACAGAATATTTCTGTTTGCAGGATGTGCAATTTCTCGATAACCTTCTACCCGGTTGTCGTCAGATTGTCGAGTCCCAAGTCCAGATGATCGGATCGATATCCTCGTCAGTGCTTCAGAGGGTGGATCTTAGGAAAGCGTTTTCGGGTTCTGCGTAGGGTAGCTGCTGCAGGGCAACGTGAGCGGGTATGTAGTGTAGGATGTTGGCAGGAGTCGGGAGACAGTTGGTTTCGAGTCTGTCTATGTATTACAAAGGTCAGCACAGTACGCCCAAGATTGAATATCAGCTGGAAGATTCAGCACCGAAGCAGTAGGAGTTATTGAATCGAACTCTGGCGATGCAAATGTTGCCTCTGCACAGCGCAAAGGGAATAAGAGGCATTTGTCTCTCAAGGACTGCGCGCTTGTCGATCTCCACGTTGCGCCGTTGCACGGAACGAATGTGGTGCAAAATGACAGAAGTCAGCCGTTCAGCGCGCGGTCGCTAAACATGTAAATCTGGAGTATGGCGCTGAGACGCGTTCCTCGATCAAATTTCCAAAGCGTCGATACTGACTCAGAAGGGAGGGGGTTGGTTCTCCAGAACTCCGTAGGTGCAGAGGGAGTGAAATAGAAAATTATCAGGTCTGACCTTTTTTGGTGAGAATCTGATAGATTCCGTACTTTGTAATATCTGCAGTGCGATTCCCACGAGGTGGATGTGGAGATTTGGCCTGCGATGCGTCTGTCGCGTTGCTGCCGAGAAAGTGGAAATTCGGGG